AGATCCTGGTGCTAACGAACCCGACATGTACGGTGCGCGAAATTCGCAACTTACAGAAAATGATTTTTGTTGTCTTCGGTATGGTTGAATAAAACTACTCGAGTTATCTACTTAAAACTGATTTTGACACGTCTAGAAGTCATTGTGAAAAACTTTTAATCGTTTGAAAATAGTCCAAAATGAGGAAAATATTCGTATTACTTCTTCCGAAAGTTCACAAGTAGTTTTCTTTGGCTCCTCTCGGGAAGTTTAAAAAGCTAACTCTGGCTGGCATCTAAGAAACAAACACGCCCTCAAAATATCCCCAAAACGAGCAAACCGGACAAGCTAGCAGACGGCGAGATACGTGTCAACACTAAACATTCTAATCAACATCGAACAAGTCATTGCCAACCCTTTCAGCAGTTCTTCCTTCATTTCGAACTGCAGAAAGACTTACTCCGAAAAGAACTTCCAAACAATCAATAAACAAACTGCTAACTCGAAAACACACGATACAGTCCGCCCAAAAACAAAACTAATACCAAAAACAAACGAAGAAAAGCATGAGTGCCACAACATCACCAAAACCTCCATGCACCATACACGAATCTGCACCCCAGCAACAGTATATGGCTACCGACACTCTAGAGTCGGTCTCTCAGATGCTTGCTTCACGGTGAAAAGTGTTAATTATCAAAAATTAGCGTTTTTCTCGCTAATTAAGGAAACTAATGCCAGCAGATAAAATATGTGAAATTAAATCTCTGACACTTTTTATTCAGAGCTCGCAGATCTAGGATGTCTTGCCGTTGAGAAAAGTAGTAATTACGTGTTTTTCCTCCTCGAATGTCAATATGTCGCTAATTTACGTTTAAGTGGCGTCAGGTGTCACTACTCTACTACTGCGCGCGGACGGACGAACGGACATTTCGTTTGTATGACCCAAGACTTCCAGTCAAGGGAATAAGTAAATAAATTCGACTATTGGATAGAAAAGTACAGAAGCTCAAACTTATCTGTTAGCTCCTTTTACGGGTAGATCATAGTCATAACAGCTGCCTCGATTGACGATTGCACCGCGAAAAACGAATCGTTCAATTAACGGACGTATGAATAGTAAGCGTGGTGCGTGTGGTAAAGAAAATTGTTCAGGTGTGGCACGCGACTAGACGAGTTGACGATTTGACAAAGAATAGCTATTGAGTTGACGGTAGAATCCAGGACTGTGTTGATGACGGCGTAATTACATTTCTAAATAGAAAAGAAAGAAGCAGCATCTTAGAAAGAATGATTATACTGCAACTTCAAATATTTAATTCGATATTTTTTCTTTTCAATCCTTAGACCTGATCGGTTTTCCAAAAGTTGCACCGTCAAATTCTCTACAAAACTTGATCAAACTTATTTCTATAAAAAGTTAAGGAGAAAAATGCAACGAAAAATATTCAACGTGACGAAGGGACCAAATTTCTAAGCTGTTTTCTTTTACAAATTTTGGAATATTTTAAACAAGGTACCTGACGAGATCTCTGCGCCCTACAGCGTAAGTCGTTGCGCTGACTCCAAATATCTAAGTTTCAAAAATTTTGTTTCTCTAGAAAAAAACCATCGAATTTTGATATGTGTCGTTTTATTTTATTCATCATGACAAATATACAACATGACGCATACTTTTTAGTTTTTATTAAACGTTTTCTTTCTTTCACTTTTTCTCCTCTTTCTTCTTTTTCTCCTGTGAAATCATAATAAATGATTTACCTATAGAAAAAAGACTCATGCATTACTCTTCAAATAGTTTTTCATTTTTTTAAATAAAAAAATCGACGTTTTTATTTTACTTCGACAAAATCATACTTTTTTAATATTACAGGCAAGAAAGCGCATAACACAACGTTACGGGTACAGCGCAAAATGCAATTACACAAGTGGAATTCATCCAAATGTTTGTGTATAGCATTTTACGCTATTTCGTAGGTGCGCTCTGTTTTGGTTACAACCCATGCACACTGCGTTACTCTATTTTGCAAAAATATTTTCTGCGCAAGAACGCAATTGTGTCATCGGTGTATTTTCAATGATATTCATGCAAAAATACACCAAAAAAGGAAGCTGTTTTGTTGTTTTTCTAGGTATACTGATTGATCGATTTTTCGGTAAAATGATGTGGTTACACATTGAAGTTGAATGTGCTTCGTGCGTTCATTATCAAAGTTTTGGACGTCACAGTTTCATTAAATGAGAGGTTTGGGCAGTGGCTACATGAAACTGCATCTTTCATGGTTTTTTTCCATCAAGTCAAAGTTACAGAGATATTCGGAATTGTACATGATGCTTCGGTAGTGAGTATATCTGTAAGAACTTGGTCGAAAAAAAGATAGAAAACAGAATGCCATTTTTAGCTACTGCTGCCATATTAAATTATAATATAAAAAAGAACGAAAAAGTGCATCAAAAAGCGCATATTATTTCCGACTTCGTCCATGTTGAAACAAAACAAGAGAAATCAGTTTTACGGTGACTGTTTCATACGCTTTTTCAGTTTTATTGCAGTTCTAATGAGGTTAAGATGTGGAAGAGGACTTGTGCCATAATAAAATTTATGTAAGTGAAGGCGTTAACGCTAAAGTTCTCGATTAGGCCTTGATAGTTGCGTGTTTGTTCCTCGTTTAATGTCAAAATCTGCATCTAGCTCTTTTCTTCCGCGAACCTCAAAAGATTGGAATGAACTACCTTCTGTTTTAGCCTCTCAAACTTCTTTAGCTACATTCAAAAATATGCTGCGAGGTTACGCAGGCTTTTAATAATGTTATTTTGTTTACTTATTTGAAATTTTTAGTTTTAGGTTATCACAGGGTATCCACGGATTATTACAGATACATTGGTCTGAGGGCAACTGGATGATAAAATATTAAATGACATCTGTTTACTACAGGTTAAATCAGTTCGCTCCTACGAAATAATGCAAATCATTAATTTCACTTATGTAATCATATTTTGCGCTGTACTAGTGCCGTTTTTGTATGGGCTTTTTTGCGCGAAATGTTAAAAATAATTTGATTTTGTCGATGTGGAATAATAGTTTTTTTTTACATTTAAAAGAATGAAAGAACCTTTGAAGAGTAATGCATGAGTCTTTTTTCTATAGTATTATGATTATGCAGGAGAAAAAGGAGAAACACAGGCGAAAGAAAGAAAAAGTTTAATATAAATAGAAAGTGTGCATCATGTTGCATATTTGTTATCAAGTGAAAACAAACAACGGCTACTATCTGCGGTGCAAAGGAGGTAGCAGATAAGTGTGTGCTAAAGCCCCATAGCTTCCTCAGCGATCATGTTAGGTAAGAAGGAGCCTGACGGAATTGTACTCGATGCATTGTTCAGTATGAAAATCGGCGCAAAAATGTTAAAACACAAACGAAATGGAAAAATATATCCACGACAGTTTTATTTATACAACAGCGAAGATGTAATATCTTATCACAATACGAAAAAGTTATTTAAAAAACCAACAAGCTGTAAGAAGCACAGATTCTTCTTCTCTTTGAACTTTTATTTGTGATGCTTTGATATAGACTTCATCAAAGAAATAGATGAAATTCGTGACGGTCTTCGAAGCAATACATTTCAGCGCTTCCTGAAACGAAAGACTATTAGACAGAAGGATGTAAGTTTAGCATAGAATAATTTCTTCGATATACGATGGTACTAGTTTCATTTATTTTAGGAAACTTGCGCATTTACAATAATGTATGATAATCATCAAAAAGAGCTACATCTTACGGCACCAGATCAACGAATACGAGATTTATGGATTACAGGTTTAAAACATTTAATCGAACGCTATTCGGATAGTGGTCAAAGAAATTTTATCAGCAGCGATTCGTAAGATTACTAGATACATACTTTCGATAAAACAGGTTGCCACAATCATGCAGACTTTCAAGAAATCGAAGTTGTAAAGTTAAACATAACTGCTTTAGCTTTTAGGAATCAGTGAGAGAATGAAGCTAGAAAGTTTAAGAAAGAAATTTTATTTCAAAGTTAAGTGATGGAGTTTTTCGTTTCTAGTTACATATCTAATCAATTCTATCAAGTTGATAAAGATCATTCAGGTGAAATAAGCAAAAGCGAATGCAAACACTTATTAACCGATGTATTGAACACAAAAATGTCCGACAAGTTATTTAATTCGATGTTCTCCGTATGTAGTATATCTAGGCTGGCAACCCTGTTGGAATGACCTTATTCTCTTTTTTGAAAGCAAGCTGATGTGAATCATAGTGGTTCATTGAATAACCAGGAGTTTCTCACCTTTTATCGTGTATTAACAAAGCGACATGATTTAGTTCAAGTAATGCAGATGTGAGAATTACCCTATCTTATTTTATATGGGTATGCTGATCGTTCATTATGCTTCTTGTTGCTAGGTATGTAAAAAAGGATAAAATGCTATCTGATGAATCAATGAGAATGAATATTGATGAATTAAAGACGTTTTTGAAACATGCTCAACATGTAAGTCTACAATTTTTAATGCGGTTAGCCTGAGTACAATCTTGAAGACTTTTTCATATTTTAGCAACACGATATAACGAGCGATCGTGCAGCAAAGATGATCGAACAGTATGAAATGAATCCGGAATTGAGAAATCAACATTTATTAGACATTGATGGTATGTAACGAGGAGATCGAGTGTTACAAGGCCATTTTAGGAACTGAAATGTTTCTTAAGGTTTTCGAAACTTAATGTCGAGTGAAGAATTTGATTTAATGAAACCGTTGTGTGCACATCGACCATATCAAGATATGACGAAGTAAAAGAGAAAAGATATCCGTTTTGGCTACTGTAAGTCGTAATCCTTTATCTTCTAGACCATTGACACATTATAACATAAATACGTCTCATAATACGTAAGATAAAACATGGGCTAACTTGCAATAGAAAATAAGTTGTTACTGTTTGTTCAGATATTTATTTCAAAGCCAAGTTATTGGTGCCAGCAACGCTGAAGCATATAGCCGCGTTCTATTAAAAGGTGGACGGGCTGTTGAGCGTAAGCTGTTTCTTGCCACTTTAGCTTCTTTGTATAGTATAGGAAGTTTCATTATTTCTAGTTGACTGCTATGATGGTCCTGATGGGAAACCGATTGTTAAACATGCTTGGACCTTAGTTAGCCCGTGTTTGTTTGAAACAATTATCCATATAATAAAATTAAATTGTTGGAAAGCATCCGAGTAAGAACAAGACGAACCGATTTTCATTAGTCACATTTCATTGGTCTTTATAATAGGCGTATCTTCAGCTCAGATCTTATTTGCAACTGTTTTTAATATAGTAAAATCCCAACATGTTAAACTCGCTCATAAAAAAATCCTTTTTCTTCTTCTAGGTATCCAGTGATACTAAATATCGAGAATCATTGCTCAATTCCACAGCAAAAGGAAATGGCACGCGTTCTAAATGCCGTACTGGGAGGTAGAAAAGCTCATAATTTTTTCATTATTAATCTTTCGAGTTTTATTTCATTTAGAACACCTTCTAACAGAAGCGTTACCAACTACGAATCCATCTGTGTTACCATCGCCAGAAGCTTTAAAAAAGAAAGTTTTAATACGAGTGAGTATAGGCTATTTACTGTATTTCACGTTTATTCCTGAGCGCCTTTCTAGAGCAGAAAAATATCACGACCTACGAAATCAACACAAACGCTGCAACAAGAAGATGAAGATGATTCGCCAACTAATCCATTGAGCGAAGTATGTTCTTTCTCTCCTTCTCTACCAAACACCTTTCACCTTCTCGGATGCTTAGGTGATGCATCCTGATTTTGCACAACTTCTGATATATCTGCAAAATGTCCCATTTCGTGGCCTTGAATATGCCCGTGCTAACTGTAAGTACTGCATATACATCGAGCAATCAAAATAGATGTACATGTTTGTTCAGATTCATGTTGCCAGACATCATCATTGGGTGAAAGTAAATTTGACGATGAAGTTGAAAAGGATCCATTGGGTTTTATCAAGCAGACACAATATCGAATCATAAGGACGTATCCAGGCGGGATACGCCAAGATTCAAGTAACTACAGTCCAATTCAAATGTGGAATTTCGGAGTACATATGGGTAAGACCTACTTAGAATATTACGAAAAGAGAATCCGTTCAAATCTCTGCTTTGCAGACCGCTTATAATTTTGATCAGAGGTTCATACATCTCCTTTCTGTCCATTAGAAACGCATACAGAGTGTTGAGGGCTTAGTAGTCGCCATAGTTTTGGCTTGAGTTTTTTTGAGACTGAAGTTTACTTGAAATGTCGTTCCTCATTTCGCATAGGATGGGGAGTTCTTCTTCGTAGCGACTCCAACATTCTCACCACTTTCACCGCTCATAACGGACCTAAACTTTTCGAGATACAATATATTTTAATTAGGTTTTTAGGTTCTTGCTTGTTGAAAACGAATATAAAAATCTTACGTTTGTATCACGTTTTTAGGCTCGCACGAACATTTAAATCCAAGAACCTATTCTTCTAGTATAATTTATATCTAGGTTCATAGGTGCTTGCATGCGTTGAAAGAACCTGAACGTTCAGGTTCGTAGGGGGATGAAACCGGAGTAGGGGGATGGAGAAACAGGGGGCTGGCAGTGAGTCATATACACTACATCCCGCAACCTTAGCACGAACCTAGAATTTCTAAATTCGTTTGCAACATGCAAGAATCCAAGAAGCTAGATATAAAGTATAGTAGGGGAATAGGTTCTTGTGTCTAAATGTTTGTGTGAACCTAAAGATTTAGATTCGTTTTCAACATGGGAAGAGCCCAGGAACTTACAACTTTCTGGAAATTTTGTTTCATTCTGTTTTGGATTCGTTACGAATAAGAATTCCTCAATTCATCTCATTTCCCCTCGCATCAGCTGTTTAAGCATAGACTACTATCATGATCCACGTTTTCATTAGTTTTTAACGCTTTTGTTTTCTTATATGGTTGATATTAGCTGCGATGAATTATCAAACGTGTGATGAACACATGATGTTGAACTCTGGACGATTTTTAGACAACGGAGGATGCGGTTATGTATTGAAACCAGAGTTTCTCACTAATCGTAAGTAAGATACTGTCAAAGCAAAGATTTATGGGACAGACGCACGTATTTCGTAGAATCCGAAGAAGTCTTACTTCAATT